CCACCCCTCTCCCCTCCCTGATTGCCCACCACCCCTCTCCCCTCTCCCTCATTGCCCACCACCCCCACCCCTTTTCCTCACTGCCTACCACCACCCTCCCTCACTCCCCCTTCCCTTTATTTAATATTTGATGTAGTAATGTAACTTTATGTAGTTATATTGAATAAACTGTGTCTTTCTCTTACATAAATCTACTAAGTATATGTACACTGTTACTTGGATATATCTATCAAGTATATATATCCTGTTATTTGGATATATCTGTGGTTTTTACTGTGGATATATGTATCTTTGCAAATATATAAATCAAGAGGATGTGTAAAGTGTATATGTACTGTTACTTGGATATATAACTTCAGATATATCTTCCAAGTATATACTGTGGTTTGGATATATTCTGTGATTATATGCAAGGATGATAATTTCACACAGTTCATGGGAAGTGGAAATTCACTGTGGATATATTTTTGCAAATATATATATCAAGAAGATGTGTGAAGAAAATACATATCACAATATATTGGCAGTAATTTTATACAGTACCAATGACAACTGGGCTTGTGCACATTTGCGGAGACCATTTGAGAAGGAGTTGAGAGAAAATAGCAAAAAATCAGAAATCAGAACATGAGAAATTGGGTGCAGCATGCACCTGATTCTGGCCATTTCCATTAGAGGTATGACAATACATGAGTTCTACATAGTATATAATATAAGGAAGTGGGTGACAAAAAAGATGACAGTAATACTATGTAGATAGAGTAAACTGTTATTGTGAGAGCCCTTCTGATGGTGAGTAAAGACTTACCTGGCTGAGGGAGCGAGCTGTTGAGACAAGAGCCTTATAAGGTAGCAGACAGCCATACCTCGCTAATGTCACGTGATCCATCCCAAAACGGTCATTTTTGACAGAAACACTTCTCAAATATTTACCATGCAGGATTTAGCAAATTGAGCCAGAACATTTTGTAGAGAATGCTATCAAATGAGCAACTACCAATTTTCTTGGTGGAAAATTAAGATCTCAAGGAGGAGTTTTGAAATTGGTGTTGCATATGGTAGCACATTACGTGAATCAAAGCACACTCTGTGAAATCCGTATAATTGAAACTCCTCCTTCAGATTTTCAAATCAAGTTCTGAAAACTTGCAAAAGCACCCTGAATACCAATTCAATTAAAATGTTCAGCTCGATTTTGCAGCAGTACACATTGCTCTTCCATTATCATCTACTTTGTAGAAAGTTGCCCAATTAGGACAGCTCATGTGATGTTAGTGAGGTATGGCTGTCTGCTACCTTAGAAAGGAGAGACAAGAGCCTTATAGAAAGGAGAACTCTCATCTCACTTGTGAGTTATCAGCTATAAGGGAATCTAAAAATAGATGCATGAGCTGTAGCAGGTGTTCCATGAGTAATAAGATCTAATATGAGGAGTCACCAACTCTGTGTATCCCAGCAGTCTCTTGTCGTCAAGATCAGATAACAATGTCAAAGGTGTGAGGATCCTCTCCTGTGAAGGAGATGGTCTATGATCACACTCAAGTGAGGATTGATGTTACAACGGAAATCCGATGCTACAATCCTAGCAACTCTCCAGGAAATCCATGGAAAGTCAAGTGACAGACATATGGATTGGGGATGAGATTGCAATCTGATGAGCTAACACATAGGATGATGATACTATTGTACATGTGTGTGGTTCACTCAAGTGGCATGTGACTGTGAGGAAAGCACTCATGTTCTGTTAGCGGAAAGTAAGTAAATGAATATGTACCAAAGATAAGGGAGTTGAATCCCTTGTCATATGAGCAATCAAAGTCACACCAAAGCAAATGAATTAGTGTTGTTGCGAGCTTTACAGTGTGACCATAAAACTTCCATCCAAGTGTGGATCACATGGATTGAGCAGTGGCTCTTGGGTGAGCAAACCAATATATAATAGTCCTCCAACTTGAATGATTTTGATTTAGAATGTTCATTGCCCAAGTCAAAACCCTCCAACTTGAACAGTTCTGATCTAGAATGTTCATTGCTCAAGCCATAGTCCTCCAACTTGAATGGTTTTGATCCACAATGTTCAAGTGCCATGAGAAAGAACTGGACAGTCAGACTGTTGGAGCCTTCATGTAAGCCATGATAGTGGTCTATATCCTACAAACAGTCAAGGAAACAATATATGTCCCACATTACAGAAAATCACAAGTTTTTTTTTAGAAACTGGGACCCCAGACACCCCTAGTGGCTGAAGAAATATATCCTTGGTCAACCCCAGCTGCAAAATATATCCTAAGTCCATCCCAGACCAGAAATATATTTCTACAGTGTGACAGTCACAATTCAGGGTCCAGGCATAAGAAATATATTTGGTGTCCATCTCAGTGAAGAAATATATTTTGGGGTGTGTGACACACTAGAAATATATTTGGTGTGACATTGGATGTCAAAATATATTCATGTAAAAGTGGAGATATACAAGCCCCAGGATATATACAATATAGATATACACCCTGACATTTAGTCCTGTAGTATTCATGGAGTTTGCAAGACTAATAGTCAGTTGTTAGTGGGTGACTGAAGTGCCTAATAGCATCAAATATTGCATATGTTTTTAACCCAGGCTTAGTCACATAATCTGAGATATATGCCACTATAGCTTTGATGGCTGTTCCAGATAGAAGGCTTGTTACATCTGAGTTACATCTGAGCAGATAAGTCACTGGAGGAGATAGTGTATTAATCCATTCCTCTCCTTTCTTGACATTTAAGGGGAGGTTGAACACACGCCGCCCAAGGCGGAGTTTGAATACTTTACATAATCCCGCCGCTCTCGACGTCGTTCGTACAGACGTGCATAGAATGTAGGTAGAACATGTAGTAAATACATGTTTGTAAGGCTTTAAAAAATATATGTGAAACGGTTCGATTCATGGAAGAGAGGGTCTCTTTGCGGCGCCGGCCGCGACGGCTGGGGACACCCCAGACCCCTTGGGGGGAATTGCATCCCCCCCAAACCCCTCCGCTTTTGCCTGCGGCGCCCTTGTGGGGGGATTGGCATCCCCCGAACCCCCTCCTCTGCCTAGCGGCACTTTTTCGCTGCGCTGGCATTCTCACTGCGTTACTCTTCCGCTGCGCTGGCCTCTTCACTGCGTTGGCCTCTTAGCTGCGCTCGCCTTTTCGCTGCGCTGGCCTCTTCACCGCATTGTGGTTTGTTAATTGACCTCGCCTTTGGCGCAAAGGTACTCAGGATCCACTAAAGTACTGTAATTTGTATTCAGCAACTGTAAGGATGTCGAAAACTACTGAATTCTATATGATTCCTTCCGTGCTTCCTTTTTCCCTCTCTTGAATGGAACAAGTCCGGCTTGATGATCGTTTGTATCATGTTCATCTTGACTCAGGGCTTCCAGTGACTCGGTGCTGACATTTCCATAGCCTGTGAGGAAGCAGTATAATCAATATAAAAAGCTATTACTGCAATGAGAAAGCTTACTTCGAGATGTTTTGAGGCGCTCGCGGATGCTTGGGCTGATGTATTTTTCGAGCTGGGAAGCGGATTCGGGGGATAGATCCAAAACCGTTTGGATTTCTTGCATCATCTCATCTTCAGCCGCTCTTAGTTGCATCATAGCAGTGCCTATCGCGTTGATACGGCTGTGGTCATAGCTTGAGTCGGAGGTCGAGTTGGGCAGAACGAGGAGTGTGGTTTGTTGTTCGTGGCTTTGACAGCGCGCGTGGTTTTCGTGATGCCAATCGGCAGAGGTGTCCAACTCGAAGAAGGCTTTGTCTGACATGTATTCCGAGTCGGATGCCGCTAGGGAGTCAGGAACGAAATCGAGGGATGATGATGATGGACGGCGGCGTATATACGCAGGATGTACGTGGGTTGGCTTGTCCTTCAGGAGGAGTATCCACAATCCGAGTCATTCAGATATAAGTTGAATGCATGAAGTTTCTGCAAACATACCTTGAGATCCTCCAATCCTTCTCGGTCTCCATGATAATGAACGCCAACTTGTATCCCTTCAGAGCTACTGACACTCCCGGAAACAAATGACTGATCAGAAGCCTCAGAAGCCTCGTGTCGATCATGATCGTAAGAATTCCATGCTTCGCCGGGGTGATCGTGATCGAAATCATCGACGCGTGTCATGACGCTTGTACCACGCGAGTTTCCGGGATGTGGTTGTTCATAATGTTGAGATTTTGTAAGTACGCTTGGAATTTGTTGAAAGTGTTGCATTAGTGCAGGAAGGAAAGCTGAATGAAATAGATTGATCACATACAATGATTCGGTCTTGCTAGTTGATTTCTCAACCATTTCATCATGAGGTTCTTCGTCGTTGGACTCATCTTCCAATTCACCAAGCCATTTTTCGATGAGCTCGTCATGGTATGATGCGTCAGAGTTTTCAGATGAATTTGATACATCTGCTTCAGGTGTCAAGCTTTCTGAGGCGGATGGAGTGGATGGTGCACGGTGATGCAATGTGATGGGTGGCTTGATTATTCGCAGTGATCGGTAGTAACCATCGAGTTCTTGTTTCCCATGCCTTTCCTTAAAAAAATCGGGGATCACGGCGGTTACCAGGAGGAGAACCCACACGTCTATCCGTGGGAGGCGTCCTGAATGTTGGTAGGGCTTGTAGTACTTACCTTTAATACGTCCGTTAAAAGACTCGAGGGGGTTTGTAGTACGTGCAATTTGAGAGATGGGAACTCCAAGTTGACGAGCTGCCTCGGTAGCACCAGCAGGAGACCATGGAAGCCAGCACGCTTCGTTTTTGACATAGCTTCTCAGGTAATCCAGAAAACCTAGGGCTGCTGCTGCTTGAGACTTTGATAGATGATTGCGCTTCCTCCGAATTTTTTCCCAGTGCGCTATTTTATCCGTGTAGATCTGCATCGCCTGATCGTGATGGGAAATGCCAGTGTCTTTGAGGAGCTTCATCAAAAGCTGTCCGATGTGTTTGCGCACAATCTGACGGCCTTCACCTTTGGGAACAGACCGTAAATGTCGGTTGAGTGCATTGCGCCATGCTTGCCAAACGTGAAAAATGCAGAGTAAAAGAAAAATTGAGTCCCAGTTTGCTGATAGTGCTGATCGTTCTCGGGCATCATTGTCCGTAATTCCAATTTGTATGTCAAAGGGTTCTCCTAGATCGTTTCGGCCCATTCCATGCTTGAACAAACCCAGAAGCCGAGTCAAAAGAGCAGAGTTGTAATCTGCATGCATCGCCCGAGCAGATTCCCGAGCAGTAAAAAGTATAAAGCAAATTGGAATTCCTTTGCCAGTTTCATCGAGAGCCATGAGAATCACTAGTAAAGCGCAAGCCGAACAGACACCAAATGTGAGATCCATCAAAACTTGTTTTTGATGGCCATATTTCCAGGCGGCAGTATGCATTTCCGTTGTTGACAGAATAATCTCAAAGCGGTCAGTTTTTGATTTTTCATGTGCCTGGTAGTGCATGCAAGATTCCAGGAGAAGGGGAGATGGTGGTTGGGCACACTCTGCTCGGAACCATTTATCAAGGTTATCCTCGGCAGCCGTTCGTTGAGGGATCCCTCTCTCTCGAGAAATTGTGCAGTAAAGGGAGGACATATCATGGGTTGTGAGCTTGTAGCGACCGTGCTTGTTGCCTGTTTGACCGGGCCATTTTTCTTCCGCATACACATTGCATTCCGAGCGCAGAAGGCTGAGTGGCGCATTTTTCCGAAGCAAAGAAAGCGCATACTCTTGAAGTTCCGGGTTTAACTGAACCCTTGGATTTCGTTCCATCTCGATCTGTGAGGCACAGTCATCAGAATGGTCAATTATCCCCGAAATTTCATCAATGGCAACTAGCCGTCCATCTGAATATATGCATCAGCATTCTGTTATTTTATTGAACAGAAGATGGAGAATTACCGTCAATTTCACTATGTGTGGTCACCAGCTTAATCCAACTTAAACAGCCAACATTCTTCCACGGTATCTGACGTTTCTTTGACGCGAGCCTGCCTTCTTCGTTGTCAACACCGCATTGGCATTGAAAATGGCGCGTCCAACGTTTCCAGGCAGGTTTCTCTGCCTTTCCTCCGAGTCCTCCAATGGCCTTGCTGGAAGTTTTCTGAATTGAAAATTTTGCTTGTACATCCCTTTCATCCTGGGAAGGGATGTAGAGCTGCAAGGTTGCATACAGCTCGAGGGCTTCTTCTACATATCAAGTGTGCAACATTCAAACTATTAGCATGCTTCCAACATAATTGACAATAATGTTGAGCAGCTTACGCTGGCTCTTAACAGAATAATTAAAATGACGTCGATCAATGCCAACATTCTCGAGGTGCACAGCCATCGCTTGGCGTGAATCTTCTGAGAGACGTAAAAACGCCGGTGCCGCGGCTTCTGTTTTCTCAACCAAACGAGGCCGAGGAACATTTTGCAGCTCCGGAACGACCGAATTCACGCCAAATGGAAGGTTGGTGGTGGTAGCCATGACGTGGTGCATATATTCTATCTACCATAATTCACGCTACATATCAACAACCGACGCGACGCGTTTGTTGTGGTTTGTTTCCCGCCACCTTCGGCGGTGTGAGTCTCAATTCCCATTTAAGGCCCCAGTGTTTGAATCCACCTCTGTCTGATCATATAATGGTCTGGGAAATCTAGCTTTACATTTTCCCTGTTTATTCATACATGTAGGTCTATCCCTCTTTGCAGCTTTTTCACTATCTGATCTGTTCCTTCCACAATCATGTACATTAGACCTCAGAATCAGATCATCTACTGTCTTTGCATATTCTTTCCACCAGGTGCTAAGATTTTCACATTTTTCACAATTATTGCAGTCACAAAATGGAGGAGGTGCTTCAGGTAAAGTCTGAGTTGGATCCTTATAATCCTTGTTTTGATTTTTCTCTATATCTACCTGGTCCTTCACCTTATCCATTGACCCTGTCATAAATTCACCAATGTGGACAGCCTCCAAATATTCAACTATTTTCTTTTGAAAGTCTGAAAAAGGATCCATGATTCTATCTCTGATTTCCTGAGGAGTTAAAGCTCCTTTGATCCAAAGTAGCATATGCAAATGTAAAGTCAATCTTCCCTGTTGTTCCACTGTTGCATAAAATGCCTCTGTATCTCCATACAGTCCTCTATGTTTTTCACCCACACCAAGAACATGCTTGATGAACATCTCAGTTATGAAGTGGAAAAATCTAGCACCAGCTACAGGATTATTTGCAATTAATTTGTATCTTTCATCATATTCTCTTAACAATGGACTAAACCTTTCCTTAGTATCAGCAAAGTACAATGATATAGGGTGCATGTTATCAGCTGGAGAAAATGTGATGAACCAAGATGGAGCTCCAATGAATGAGATGAGAGACCAGATTTCATTGTGCATATATTTTTTGGTAGTAGTTGAGCCTTGAACTCTTCCTGAAACATGATCCAAGTCTTTAATAAGCTGAAAACACAAGGACTCTTCAATAGTTTCAGGCTTTACCCTCCCTCCATCTTCCATTCTTTGGATCAAGTCACTTAGAACTCCAACATCAACATCCATAAGTCTTTTTGAAATATTGTCAAATTTTGGAGTCTCAGCAAGCAGGTATCCTGAAGATGTACTTTGTTTGATTTGTTCATGATTAAAAGCAATTAATGCAAAGTGAGAATCCTTTTGAAAGCGCTTGTCATGGTACATAAGAAGATGCCTTTTGTGTTTGATTTCAGACAGACACCCCTTTTGAAGTGTGTTTCCAATTCCTCCAAGGCCATATGGAAAAAGCCATGGAAACATCTGAGGAAATAACTGAGGATTATTGTATAATGACTCTGGTTCTTGTGCATGGCTCACAGCTAATATCTTTTTATTTGAAGTCAAATGTTGAAGGGCAATGGCTTTAAGTGCTTTTAAGCTTTTTGTTGAATATTCTTCACCAGTCAATCCATGAACGACAAATGGACACTGGCCAGTTTCAGTTCCAGTCTCCTCTTCCATATCATTAATAGCTGTAGACTCTGGATCTTTGTTTGAAGATGACTCTCTATAATCCACTACAACTGGTGGACTATCCTCAGGATATTCTCTAAGATTTTTATAGGATATTTCCAGATCAAAATAGTCACAGTGGTTAAGTTTAAGCCACTCTAGAGCTGCAGCCACCTTTTTATGTCTTACAAGAAGAGGAGTTCTCTCAAAGTCAGATTTTGTAGGTTTGCAAGGACCAGTATAAATGAAAGCTAAAACTTCATCCATTTCCTCTATTGGAGGAGGCAATATATCATAAATCTTAGGTGTAGGATTAGAAAAAGAGATAGCATTAGCTCTCATTTTATGCATTCCTGAGGATACTCTGACTAGGCATCTATTATGACGAACTCTAGCCACCAAAAGTTGTTCAGCAAATGACAAGTCTAACAATTGAGGTGGAACTTTTCCTATCCATTTGCCATTTGCTAAGGCTAGCAGTGGCATCTTGCCTTTTGATACAGCTTTATAGCAAATCTGACATATAGAGTCCAAATCACTGTCCAGAACTGGGCCTTCAATATCAGAGAGGGGATCCTTTGAACTTTGTCTTTCAACTTGGGTAACACCATTTTGAATCAGAATATCCAAGTTCAAGTTCATTTCTGAGAGCTTCTTGAGAGACGAACTTGGTGTTAACTGACCACAAACTGCACATCCAGACTCCTCAAATTGATTTGGATCTATATCTTCACAGAAATCTGTAAATATCTGATGCATTAATTTTTGGGAAGGAGCTGAAGGGGGAAATTCTGGGTTTAAGCTTTTATTTTGATATTTCTTTACTGCTTCCAAGTTCAAAACTTTATATTTTTCTTGATTTTTTTCTTGGTGTTTTTTGGCTGCTTCCAAATTACTGGCCTTGTATTTCCCTGGGCTTTTCTCTTGATGTTTTTTAACTGCATCCAAATGGTTGGCCTTATATTTCTCTGGGCTTTTCTCTTGATGTTTTTTGACTGCTTCCAAGTTGCTGGCCTTATATTTCTCTGGGCTTTTCTCCTGATGTTTTTTAACTGCCTCCAAGTTGCTGGCCTTATATTTCTCTGGACTTTTTTCTTGGTACTTTTTTGACTTGTTTAAATTAATAGCTTTCTTTTTTTCTGTCTTGTTTTTCTCATCTATAAATTCAAATATTTCTACATATTCTTTACATGATTTACACTTGTGACTTTCAATAATGCTCTGAATTTCTAAGCTTTTTGACTTGGAATGAATTTTGATGTTATGGCATTGAGCAATAAATTTTAAGTTAGGAATGCTCAAGTGGGAAATGAGCTCTGTAAGGGGCATCTTACAAAGTAAAGTTGGACTCTTGATACTCTTCAATGTATGGACTTCAGATTCAGATACATAGTCTGAATATTTATATATCCCTCCTGGATTCACCTCATTTATAGCAAATGAAGAAAGCTTCTCAGCTGAAAATATACCTGCAGAGCCACCCCCCAATATTTCAGTTTTAGTCACCAAGTCATTATCTGGATTGAAACTTTGTGTTGGTTTAAACCCTGGAAGGTCCAGCTCCAAAAAGAATACTACAGATAAAGCAAGTATCATGATACACAAATTTCTTGTGATTTTTGTTGAGAACTTGAAATACTGCAAAGCTGAGACATGGTGGAATATTATCAAATACATAATGTAATTTGCAAAGTTTAAAATAGTAGAGCATCCACCAATTCTGTTCATAAGAGTAGCAAAGTCATGAGATCTCAATATATTTCTTTTCAATTTCAAATCAAGTTCCTGGCATTTTACTGCAACCAGATCTCTTTGAGAAATAATGGTAAATAATCTGAGAAGAGTCAAAAAAGATCTGACATATAATTCCAAGAGTGGAGAAGATCTTAGATGCAACCACAACTTATGAAGTTTTAAATCTAAATATTCAGAAAATGTGTAGTCACTTTTACATAGCTCAGGGCTAAGTTCAACACAAGTAGAAAAGCCATCATTTTTCAAAATCAAAGTTTCTGACCATGAGCTTTGTGCATTCCAGTATAAGGGCAATACCCCTGATGTGTGCTTATATATATCATCATATCTCATATTTGGGTAGGCTATATCTGTTCCCTCAACCATAAATGGAAGAGCATATGTATTTTGCCTTTTTCTCTCAACCATAAATGGAAGAGCATATTTATTGTGCCTCTCAACCATAAATGGAAGAGTATAGAGTGCCAAAAGGCCTTGCCTCTCAACCACAAATGGATGAGTATATGATTTATGTATTTTTCTCTCAACCATGTTGAATGGAAGAGGCTCAACCAAATGGTTGGCTGCCAAAGGGCTTGGATTGAGATCAATCACTATAGAGGGTGCCCAAGGGCTAGGGTTGTAATCAACCTCACTGGGATCAAGGTAGTTGCCAAAACTCCCTTGATCCCAGTGTAAAAGATCTAAAAGATTGCTTAGTCCTAAGTTGCATATGATCAAGCTAAGGTCTTACCATAGTTTAAGGAAGAGATGGCATAGAAATCCATAGGATTTAACTGGCAGAAAGCCAATGATGTGTTTTCTGGGTTAAATATATTAAATTTGAGAATATGCACTAAAAAGAGCAAGTTACATACCCTCTGGGCTCAGAATAGCCAGAGAACAGGGAGTTTGTTGATCTAGAATGTAGAAAGATTAGCAGAGTACCTACAGAAATATAGAGATAGGCTTACATGGCCAAAAATGACCAAGTTCAGAGTTAACACCAGTATTTCCAGATCTGAGCATGTTCCAGGTCTTGGAAGAGAACACAGAGGGCATAGAAGTGTAGCAGAGAAGGCCTAGAAGCCATAGCAAAAAGAATTGTAGCAGTAGCATGAGTGGTTGACTCAGAATGGAGTGAACAAGGTGCCAGCAAAGCAAGATGATGGTAGTTCAAGTTCAAAAGGGAAAGTTTACTATTGTTTACCAGAAGCTTTGAAGTACCCAGGAAGTTTAGGGCATGTCCACATTCCTTATTTGGGAACTTTTTCCCACAGTACATGAATTATAGCCCCTTGTTATACATTTCTAAATGTACTGGAATCATCTAACCCAATGATTTTCTTATTGAGAAAAACATAAAAAAACATGAATAAATAGGTGTCTTTGCATATATCTCAGGAAAGAAAATAGCTAGTCACATTTTGTGACCACATTGAGAAATATAACAGCATGCTCTATAAAATTGTAACTAATTTCCTTTTTGGGTCAAATTTCCCACAGTACCAGAAACACAGCCTCTCACTTAGCTTTATTAACAATAATTGTAGCCCCTTTGCTTAGCTTTACAAATATATATAAATGATGTCACACAGATCTTTCCTTATTGAGAAAAACACAAAATACTGAAAAAATTGGACACTTTTTGAAAATAGTCATGTATTTTGGCCAATATCTGCATAAGAAAGAAGACTAGTCAGATGATATAGTCATATTTCTGATATTTAATGTTGCTAAACTCTTGGAGAGGCTGTATT